ACTTAGGTAAAAGGGGGCATGCTCGTGCATTAGCAATATAAAACCTTACTTACTTGATGACTTGTAAAAAAACCCACACCATTCACTTAAACAAAAGCCAACTATCTTGTTAGGGGGGGTCTCCTCCTCTGCTTACCATCATCTGATCTAAGGGCGAGAGTAGACATCCGCAAAATATGACACCCAATCGGATCGTCTTGACCCACTCTGTCCCTGTATGTCACAAAAGTATTCACAAGGAGTAAAGCTTTTAATTTTTGCCAATTTCACAGCAGTGTCTAGCCAATATCCACTGTAACTAAAACCACTGGGCTTCAGAAACCTTACTTGCTTTTAGTCCTTACGAATTACAAACGAATCAGGGCTAAGGCAGAAAAAAACAATTAGCGTTGTAACATCCAAGAGCGCTTTTTAATTATTTGTGTGCCAGGAAACGGTAATATGCTAGTTGATGAAGAAGCAACCATAACCTAATGGAGAAATGGCAAAATTTTTTGTGAGGCCAAGTGAGAAGGAAATGTGGGGCAATTTGGTCGCCGTGAGAGGCCAGAGAGTGCATACAACATCTGTTAGGCGAGTAGAGGAGCGTTAGTACGCATTCGCGCGTAGTGCATGTTAGCCATTTCCTACTCTTACGATTCGTTGAAATCGAACTAACCGTCATCGCCATCTCTCAAGGCAGAGATGTCAGCAATCTTGATGAATGCAGTTGCGATTGCATCGTTTTTGCTCATACGATCCCTGAAATATTTCATTCAAATTTAACTCTAGTGATGCCTTTGCATAACAAAACGAAACGCAAACGGCAATTTTGTGCGCCACAATCCCATGTGGATTTGGTGAGCTAGACAATAAATCATGTGTAATTGATAGCAGCACAAGGTGTGCAGTAAGGTATTGAGCAATTACAGTCTCTGAAAGGGTACTGTTCCTGTAAAAAAGCCTGACAACTGTTCTGTAAAAATCTAGCACAATTATAAGAAATACACCAATGTTGGTGGAGAGCTAACACAAGAACTGGCAATTTGTAGGAGTGTTGAGCAAAATCGCCCAGCAAATCGGATTTATTGGCTTGATAAGCTAAAATTCAATGGAACGATAATGGAACATACCAGTCGTAGACAGTTATTGCCAGCTTGTCACACATGGATGGAAACTAAAGGGATTGTGAATGAAATACAACCACTTTGTTTCACAGGCTCTTAATCGCACACCCTCGATTAGACTTGAATATTCTTCATGTTAAATCAAGGCGTTATAAGCATGACCAATGGGCTAGTCGAGCGTAAAGTGTAAAACCTTAAAAATTGAATGTATAAGGAAGCCAACAGAAACAAGGTTTACCTGAACACCGAGTTTCAGTTCTTCGTACCAGTCTGGGTGATCAGTCCCTTCTTTTATTGATGATTTTATCTTAAAAAAATCAAAAGCTTCACTTCTTATGTGTTTTCTGTTCCTTCAGCGTAAACGAGGCGCCTTGGTATAAGACTCCCATATGAAGTCATGAGAAGTAGGATGTAATTGAATTCTGCACACAATTTCGTTAGAAAGCGCATGATATTTAAATGAAAAGTTTTAGCATATGATGGTGTTTAAGCAGCTCACACTTGACTACAAAACCATATCTGCTCACTCTAGAGCTCGTTGGTCATCACTACAAACTGCTTGGAAGAGCGGCACTGCTTCCAAGAAAATGTTATAGCAGTGGGCACAACGATTGCTACAAAGAAACTACATGGAATTCTTGACACTGGAATGACAGCATCTACAGTGGAACACTTTTCCAACAGGCCAAATTAATTAATTCAAGTAAATTTGGAGCACTCAATTTGGCCGGACAGGGTTGAACGACAAGCCTGTTATGATTCCCGAGAGGTTGGCATTGAGCAAAAATTGCAATTGGGCAAATGCGCACTTTCGTGTTTAAGAGAATGGTCACCTCATTCACTCCTACATGATTCAGTCGCTCAAATTAGCCACTAATTTGCCACGATTGTGTTATGAATTCGCAAGTTTATTGAATAAGGCATATTATTTGCAAATCATGAACCACCGAAAGCTTCAGCTGCGGCTATCCTTCCTCCTCAAATGACGCACCTTTTAAGTGCAGTTAAGTAAAGTTAGGTGGTTCTAACAATAAGGCAAAGTGGTACTATTAAACGATTGGGCTTTAGTCAGAAAAAGGTGAGGTGGCTTATGCAAAGCTCAATGTTGGCATGAAACCGATTTTTGAGTTTATGAACCAGATTTTAACAGAAGTTAAGCACCCTGAACCCACTTGTTAGCGTAGGATCGCAAAAATTCTCCATCGTAGCTTGTCATTTTTGAGCAATACGAAACATGGGTGTGAGTAGTTGATAAGAGATGGATTGCGCATTGCTATGAGTAAGCAGTAGCAACTTGTGAACAGAACAAATGGATATGACGGAAAAATTTCCCCATGAAGCTCTTGTCTTTAATGGCGGAAACAGTTTGGATATGGCAACACTTACCTCCTTTCCGGCAAATTTCACCAATGTGAAGGGATCAACAAAGTCCTTGTCCTCCTTTCCACCCTTGAAAAGTTTCTTCACACCTGAGAACGCATTACTGTCCACTAAAATGGAGAAAGAGGTGACTTGCATAACTCTACTAGAGCAAGCGAAATCGCTGCATTGATGCCTAGACTATCTACTCAGTTAGTTAAATCTAATCCTTGCATGTTTACGAACAATTGTAAGGGCGCAGGGACCATCGAACAGTCCACTCAATCGGTCTACATACAGAAAAGCAGGAAAATGGAGAGCATTCAAAATTGAGTTTTCTCTAGAAAGACAAAGTACTGCAGCACTTGAGGGGGACGTTTATGAAACTGCGCTCCAGCATTACTACGGATGTTTTTACAACCCATAAAACTAACACAAACACTCATAGGAACTTCTCCAAACTTATTAATTCACATAAAACATTAAAAATTACGCAAAGCACAGGTTACAAAAAAGCCATTATCTGTTTTCAATGGGTAAGTGAAGTCACAACTGAGGAAAAATGCAAGAATAGCAGTGGATTGCCATTGTGTAAATAGCCAAGAGGGCTTTATAAATTATGTAAGTTCAGTAGTCAGAAGTTATTCGTCATAGTGAAACTTACTCCTTGGATAATCTTCTCCAGTATATAATAGGAACCTCATTAACGCTGGTCGGAGTTGCAAACCGGCAGGTCGCAGAATGTTTCTAAAATGCGCGATACGATGTTCAAATGAGAAGTAAAGGAACAGCGGGAGCCGCGGATTATCTTCAATTCATATATGCAATCATTTTCTGCTTTTAAGACCTTCTCGAGATAAGTTTGTTTTGTGCTTGGACTAGTCAAGCTTTGGGGACTTGGAAAAGGTTGTGTGACGATATAAAGACGAAGTGATTGAAAGTTTCAAAGTTGTGCTTGTTTAATCACATAACTTACTTGGCCACCGAACGAAGAGCACTGTTAAATATGCAAGCAAAAGCCATAGGTGGCATTTTAAAAGCTTACGCTTCAATATCTTCGTCGTCTGAATCTTCTTTTCCTTTAAGGTCCTAAAAAATACTGACTCATGTTAGAGAGTTAAGATGAAATCACAAAGTAACTGTTTTAAAACGTCTGCCACTAGGTTTAAAAGTTGGAAAAAGACCTCATTTGTTCAATTGCTAATGTAGTCTAGAGAATTGAGACAATAAAAGAGGTGCTTCAAGTACAGCATACTGCTTCATCCCAGTGGGTGACTATGTTTATGACGATGTCAAGATTCTTAACTTTGAAAGTATAAATAAATAAAGCACCAGATTTTTAGTTGTGGTCAGACTAAAACAAGTCCGTCAGCGGGCATTGAACTGAAAGCAGAAGAAGTCCTTTTACCGGTGCTTCATCACCAGGGCCCAAGATGACCAAGGCAACTTTTAAATAGCCCTTTGAGCCAGCTTGGGGGTCCTCGGGTTCACCAAGAAGAAGCCATTTGTGCATAATGGCATGGTTGGGACTTTCGTAAACGGCTGCGAGGTTCAACTCAAAACTACCAATAAAAGCATCGGACCGGAGTTTCCGCGAATTATACACTCCGAAAACAATGTTGTGTTGAAATAACTCAGCAGGTGATTGATGGAAGTTGAAGAAGAAGGTCTTTCCCCAGAAGGGCGTGTTAGTAGAATGTCTGACCGCTGTTACTTGCGTCTGATTCCAGCACACCACTTTGCAGAGTGGCGAAATGTTTCCTCCAGGCAATTGGCGTGCTCCATGAACGCGAATGCGAACCTGAAACGACAAGTTCAAGACTTGTATTTCTCCACTGTCATGGGTACAAATGAGTCGTCCCACTTACAAGTTGGAATTTTCCAGCTGTGTCATTTTCCACTCAGCAAACTGCCTGTTACTCGGTCTAACGACTAGTCGGATTATCTTTCACTAATAAATCGGCTGCAACGTTGTTTAAACTTCAGTGAAGAATCGCTACTCCTATGACTAACCTACTAAAAGTATTCTTTTGTCACATATCTTGAATTAATCATCAAGGTTTTATTGCTAAAAAGTAAATTATTTGCGAACGTTAGCAGCTAAGTAAGTGCGCCCACATTCCTTCCCTCAGTTTTAATGATCTTCCAGCCGATGTTGTCCTTTCGTGACAGAGCGACTTCTGTGTCTCCCCCTCCAGTTGCAGTACTTTGCAGAGTAAATTTAAGAAAGTCGGGTTAACGTTTTACTTGGTGGTGCATACAACAGCAACGGTTCCTTCTCATTGAGCGACTTCAGAAGGGACACATAAATACAGTCTGGAATTTGATGCGATAAGTGCATATTAGCCGCACTAAATTCTGCACATCAATTCAGTCTTGTCAATGACCTCGCATCTGGTTAAAAACAATAGAAGGAGTCTTTTGACCTTCCATATTTGTATTATTTCAGAAGTGCACAAAGACTTATTAGCTTTGCATGCAGGATAGCTTCAGGTTGCTTCGGGTCATGGAGTGTTGTAAGCATCACTTTGCAAACGCTTTGGTGTGTTAACTAAATGATGAGCCGATGGAGAGGTGACTGAGAGTACTGCTGTAGGCAAAGCGATGAAATTTGTTCACACAGACTCGAACTTATGATATGAAGCAATGGCTAAAACAAATGGGTTCATTTTGAACATGATGTTGAAAATGGAAAACGAATAAGGCACATCATCATTGTGTTTGCTATATCAGTTTGCCTCTCTCATGAAATAGGTTGAATACATTAACTTCGAATTTAAATCCTTCCGTTAAGTTCCTTATCGAACAAACAGTTTCGAAACTGTCAAATACAGGAGCTAGAAAGTTTAGTAAGCGTATGGAGAACCAAACCAGCATATAGTTCACTGCTCTGCAAAAAAACTCGTCTAACAGTCGGGTCAGGTTTGCAAAGTTAGTGATCTGAATAGTGCGGTGTTTTCATGATTGCACACGGCCTGTGCGAACGGATTTTGGAAGTCAATCCAGGCCAAATTGTGTTTTAAACTTTTAATAGCTTTTAAGGATGTCGTACATTTTGTAAATAAATTCGCAGTGAAAATGAGGAATGAACAATCAGATTTCAGTAAAACCGTGAGTGATTCACGATTTCGTAAGAAAGTTTTTAATCCATCGTGGATGCCATCAAAATTACTCATTGTGCCTTTAGCTAGTTTCTACATACGCTAAACTAGCATCGTTTGCTCTAGTATGACCTCTGTGCAACCTGTGTGCCAGAGTTACGTGTAGCTGCGTAACCTTTTCAGGAAGTACTACATGGCTCAGAACAAACAACTCGAACTGGAATCGAAATATGGTAACAATGTTGTTTGCTTCCAGATTTTGAACTGTACCATCTGCTCAAGCTTGCATTTGGGCCTTGTAGTGCATCCAATGAAATACTTACTGTACTGGGAAGTTACATCGTTACGTTGTCCCTCCATTTGTGTTTGGTGGAATTATTTGGATACTAGGCAAACTATTGACTACCTGGTTGTTTCCGCCTGCAACCAAACTAACAGCAGTTATTCTCTACAGACAATTTGTAGGGAGTAGCTCCTTTCTTGTGGTATTTTAGTTGGTTTGAATGGGAAGCACAGAAGGTGGGATTTGAAAATTAGTCAATGCTGCTATAAGTATCGGATGAAGTATGTCGTGTTGAAATAAGCGACTGACAGTTCAACAGACATGCTCATCGCAGTTGTGTTCCCTTGGCTGAGAGGTCCCAATTTTACCAGATGTATTATCAAATTATCTATCTACCCAGAGAAGTTATTGTAGCACCATTGTATGCTGTTAAATGAAACTCTTATAGGCAGGGAAGATGCATAATGTACTCCTCAACCCCGCAAAATGAGACCGTGTAGAAGACTTGGCACGATGACAGAAATTAAACACAAAACGTTCAACGCTTCCATAGGCATAACGGTACGATACTGGGTTGAGGTGATTTGACTGAGCAGACCTCGCTGCCAGAGTAGCAGAAGGATTACTCAAGTGCCTCACTCGAAAAACACAGCAACAGCACTCTCACGCGTGAGCATTCATTCAAACAATGCGTTAGATAAGGGACCAAGAGCCAATGCAAATTGACACCGCAGCACACAGCACAGGCAGACAGCCATGCACACATATCGATACAGAAGCATGAACACTCAAAAACACAGGGAGCCACGCACGCACTTACAGACCTACGCACTGATTAAATGAATCATGGCCCGATCCGCACACAAAAGCACTCTGACACTGTACTGCTCAAGCATTGAACACAGATGTCTTGAATCCCACAGGAAGTAGTTGGAAGCGTAATTAAGAGAACCAATTTACAGGGAACTTGTTTTCCGCAAATTCTTTTCGCTGCTACTGGTTTTGCGTTTAAGTTTAAGCAGTTAACAAAACGCTTTATTCTCACTTTGTTAAGAAGAACATAGAAATTTGCGTCTTTTGGACTTGGATGATAGCTGGATTGGACGAAAAGGTCATGCTAGCCAAAACCGCGACAGTATTGTAGAGATGTATGATGTAAATGGACTCGCTGACTTGTTTACAAGCACACATCAGGGTGTATGGTCTACACACTACCGAATAATTGAATTAGAAAGGTACTGAGTACCCACTCAAAGGAGAAGCAAACTTGTGCCAACTGGGAGGACTGACGACTCACACACACACTAAGTAACGAAGCGGCGTGAGCTGAAGGGCGTGCGTGACTAATCGTGTGAGCGCGTCTTCACGACACGATTGCACCACCACGACAAGAACGAATGGGATTTTCATAGGAATTAGACATTCATTTTTCGCAAATGTTTTAGATGAAACGTCACAGAATTTGAGGCTTTACAGCTAAGAGTGGAAATACTTTTAGATGGAGAAATTCGTAAAGTCACAAATTTTTAGTTTTGATAGCTAACATTTTTGATGCTGCTTACAAGTGCTCAAATTCTTAGGACGAAGTGAGAATAGTAATTCCTAAAAATTTAGTGAAGTTGTTTTCGCGTCTGATAGAGCTTGCAAAAAGACTCACTCAGGCATTTCTAAGACACTTTTAAATCGTAGTGGCAGTTATGAATGTCGAAAATCTGACGTGCCAAAAATGCAAACAGGAGTTGAAACACACCACAAAAGTCAACTTTTAAGACTGGATAATCTGACTAAGCATTTTTAGAGAGCCTTATAGCTTATTTCCGAGTTCAAGTAACAGTACAAAATTGAATTACACTTACATATTCGCAGGCTCAAAATAAGGTGAGTGATAGGTGTAAGTATCTCAAGTGTTTATTTATCATTAGGAAAATTCTTGCACAGTTCGTTGCGAAAACTTCATGAAAATTGTTAAAATTTAATAAAATCATAGACAAGGGGAAGCGTAGTCCCCCAATCTCCGGTTAGCGATAATTGGCAAAGAAGGGATGAATACCTGGAAATCCTGAACCTTTGTGGAGTAGGATTTGTCTATGGCAGGGAGGAGATCAGAGACATTGCCCTTTTTTTCGCTTACGATGCCACCTGAGGCGTCAGAGCCCTCGCCTCCACCACCACCACCACCGCCGCCGGCACCGCCACCACCGCCACTGCCACCGCTCTCACCGGCAGCTTGTGGATGAAATAGTGAGTTAGCATGACTCACAAACGGATTTGGACGCACGAGAACGAAAAGTGGTAGTGAATAATCTGCAACCTTAACCTTCAATAAACCTCTGTTGAAAGCAAAATCTTGCATTTTAGGCAAAAAGCATCAAAATTGCATTCCATCACTTAAGGCGTTAATAATGGAAAATTCCAATGAAACGGCATCGTTCAATTGCAAATTCACAACAGAACTGTTTAATTTCATACTAGTATATCTCCATTCTTGCAACGCTACCAGTGATAGTCAAACTGCAAGGAGACCAACTCCATCAGCTGAACACAAAGATAAATTTCTAACTTAATTTTAGTGAAAGTATATGCATGGCTTAAATGACTATTTTTGTCGTACTTCATTGTCAGAAGCATCGCCATAGCAACGCCTTATAGAACTTCGCATCAATGCCTTCACCTCAACGCTTGCAAGTTAATGCCTTGTTTTTTTACAACGATGATGGAGTTTCCATTGAGTACAAAATAGAAGGTAAAAATAATAATAATAATAATAATACCAACAAATGCACACGAGCCTTTGCAGTGCATGCGTGAAATCAAAGACCACGATAGACATCATGTATAAGCAAATAAATATAAGATGGTGACTTGGTAGTTGGCATTCATCCAAAAGCAAGAGTATGACTGCCTCCAGAACAGTTTTACGTATGTGCCGTGCAAGAAAGGATTGTGAAAGTATGATTTTCGATGGCAGATATGACTTATAACACTGACTGCATTTTCTGTAGGTGGACACAAGATGCGTGCGCTATAGCCTGCAAGAGCTCAAATGCCACATTTAGCCCTTATTATGGCGCGAACATCGGAAGGTGCCAGTTTCACCAACTCATACACTAACGCTGAGGTGTACAGTGCAGTTAACGATCGGGAAATTCCCGGAATAGTTCCTGAAACTGACTGCTTGAAGCGATAAAGGATTTGAATCATATGCAGGCCATGTACACTTGCGATATCCACACCTTAGATAGTTTTTAAAAGTCTATCTGGACGCACGCCTAAAAATAAGTGAAGGGACAATACTCGTGACTGCAGAAGACTACAAAAGAGGAGATTATAGCGGACAAAATGAGTTAGCTTTTCGAGGACAAGTTAAGTCGGCGCCAAGTTTACTTAATTGGAAATCCTAGCCCAGACTTTGGACTGTGGACACGACGACATGCATTACTTCTCAATTCAACTCGCATAAATTTGTCACCAAAACTTTACTTTTTGGAACAATTTTAACGAAATGCCAAAACGCTTAAAATAACCGCTCACTCAAATATTCCCTTTATGATAAGGGTGGGGAATTATTCAACTTTAGTGGTAAATGGGCTGACAAATCGAGTGCCAAGTCACAAAAATCCAAATTAAATGGCGCCCACTTGCACTGAAATGTGTGTGCCTGCTGCACGTGAGTAGAAGGCTATGGTGATCGAATTTTACACAGTCCAAAGTCGAAAACTGTTTTAATTTTAAACAGTTTGAGTGTGCCTTCATCGGTAGAACCTTTCGCCGCCTCCTAGATTTTTTCATGGTCTGCGTAAACGTCATTTTCGAAACTTATGTTAATGTTTTAAAGTTACAAACGTAAGTACAGTAGTATAGTATTGACGAAATGAATTATTAAAGTTTCTATGGCTTTCGTAAATGGAAGTAACTGATTTCATTTTTTCGAAATTGCATATTTCCCTCGAAATTCCTACAAGAAATTGAACTTTAGCGCTATTTAAATGATTTTGTTTTTCAAAAATTAACAGGATTCGCTCCTGTGTTTACCGACAACAATTCGCCACTGACAGCTTGTCATCGCTTTAAAGGGTACCACAGAACAGCGATTACCTCCTTAAGACGCCAAACACTATTCGGTATGGGACTGAATGCGGTAAAACGATTGACAAATCATTGCTAAACGTAAACTTAGGCAAAAACAAGGACTCGTAGTGGCTTATGCGGCTGACGCACAAGCTAATATTTCTACTAGGATATCGTGCTTGCAAACGTTCGAATCGGCAAATGACCAGCGCTGAAAGTCAGCCAAACACTTACCATCACTCCGAAATACGAAAGTGGTGCTGACCGGTTGAGGAGCAGTTTTCAAAACTGAGGTCAGTGTAGGGTGAATATTAGTGTAGTCATACTTAACAGCGGTACACATTAGGAGCTGGTCGCACAATTTGAGCACCAACCATATTTGAAACTGTGACAATAAGGAATTGTGTACAAAACTGGTGGAGGCGCATGTTTCAGGTTGTGTGAGAAAGTTAACTTACGCAAGTCCCAGACATGGGCTTCTTCTCCGTTTTTTGAAAGAACGCTTTCCGAATTTGTCCCCTCCACGGCTGGTGGATGCCACAATGATGGCCTTCCCTACATCCCATACACTTGGTCTTTAACTGACCAATAGCATTTTACTTGGACGCTTGGATAGCCCCAATTGGGCCAATGCTGTGCAGTCAGTGTATTGGTACGAGCCTGCACGTATCTGTAAAGTCTTTTTTAAATCAGCCAGACAAAAGACTGCAACTTAAGTTAAATGCGTTTCTTTCTGGCATTTTATGGATCTAAGATGGGGGCACATGCCTCCGTGTAGTACTTAAGGTCACCGGCAACCTAAATTTCAAGATCGGCGTTTCATTTGATGTGATCCCGATGCGGGTCAATCTGTACACGAAATGCATAGAAAAGACAACTCTTGATTTAGATAACATACCTCCACCACTTCCAGTGGCACCTCCCTGAGCTGGCGGTTCATAGGTAATGGTGAGCTCGATGCTTTGCTAAAATGATGGAATTAGAATTATTCAGATGGCTGACACCATTGCAGTTATGTGAGAAGGTCAGTGAGGATAGTTCGTTGAAATTAAGGATGATTACTAGCTTAAACGAATAAGACTTCCTACTAACTCTCATTCATCCATTTACTTGAGGAAATAATCATAAATGATGGTGACTTCCTTGAGAGGCAAAATTTCAATAATTCAAATCGGTGCATGTAATGTGGAAATATGGAAGCAAGATAGAGTCCCACTGTTTCTGCTTATTTTATCATTGCGGTTCTGGAAGGAAAACAAATGAAAACGGAATTTCTTGCACAATTAAAAATCAAATTGTTAGCAGAAAATTCTAGCTTTGATTAAAAGACTCCCATTTGACGAAATTGAGCACTTTTGGTAAGATTCAAAAAATTAGTCAAAACACTTTTATTCGTATACTGGGAAGCATAGCGAACAACTGATTAAGTGGACACCATAAAGGGCCGAAAGTCCTTAAAGATCCAGTTTTGTTTAACGCGGAGAATTAATTAGCTATATTGTTCAGCCGATAATTAACCAGAGTAGCTACTTCAAAATAAAAAGAAGGCAGCGACGAATTTAGATTGGCCAAAAAGATTCTTCTTTCACACAGCTTCCTATAAATTTACATAGCAGTTACGCCAAGCGCATAGAGCGAAATTCAATATTATGGTACCACAATGACAAGTTTTGACAAATTTAAATAGTTGAAAGACCTGGAATCAGTAACTAATTTAGTGTCGAAAAAACAGCTTCCATAGTATTACGACTCACCTGTGTAGGCTGGTTGTTTTTATCATTAAGGATTAAGGTTTCCTTCTTTTCTTTTTCCCCACCGCTAAAGGAATTCAGCGGTACAGACGCTTTGCCCATAAACCTAGATTTACGTTTCATCTGTTAACTTGTGTAAAATGGAAAATGGAATACAGAGTTCCATTAAATAAAGAGTATAAAAAGCAATGTCAACGTAGCAAAATTAAATAAGTTCGATTAAATATTAAGACGCCATAAGAGCACTTTTCACATTACTGAATATAATGTCAAGGCGATTAAGTTTTGTAGATAATCACATACTTGTCAACCGAAATATCATCGTGGTCAAAAACTTTGACCTCAAGCGTATCGTTTGGAGCAAGTGCTTCGCCTTTCAAATCGAACTCAATGCTCTATGTGGGCAAATCTATATATTTTTAAGAAAATACCTCATTCCATTCAGGATTTAGGTTGTCGTTGATATGTTTAGTCTTTTTCTTTTCACCTAGAATAAGTTAAAAAATTAAAGCAATTAAAAAGAATAATATTTTCTTTGTTCTAAAAAAAGAAATATTCCTAATCAAAGGTATCCAAAGGAAAAGGCTTAGAATAACTTCTTTTTAGCTTGCGGCGTTAGTAACAAAAAGTAAAAAGAAAATCAAACGACACAATAAGGTCCAATATCAAATTTTACAAATAGCGAATGTTACCGCATGACAATTAGTAAACACTACCAAGAATTCGAATAGAAATGGAGTAGTCTACAAAATAATATCTTATTCTAAAAGAATCAGAGGACCAATTTTACCTCATAACACAGATACGACTTTCCATACCTTTAAACTCAAGTCTGCAATATGGATCACTTTTTCCAACAAGCTCCACATTTTTTAGATTGGTAGCTTTTTCCACTTGTATCCGCAACATGATAAGTCGATGTGAGCGGCGAGTAAGGTAAGGCCGAACTTGTGGTGCGCAACAATTAAAACACTGGCGATACTCAACATACAAAGAAAAAGTAAAGCAGTTTTCCATAACTTAAGGTTTCAAATCCATAATCTTTTAAATTTGTTTGTTCTAGATCTATGTATTTACTTAACTTATATACAATGAAGGGTGAGCTGTGCAACAGTTTTCGATAACTACCGTGTAGATGATCAGCTTTATTTTAAAAAAACCCATAACTAGCAAAAAAATAGACTAACATAATTATTTGGAAATTCTATGATGAGTACTGTGCCATGGCATTAAGGCCGGCCAACGCAACAAAGGATGTACAGAAGGAGCGACTTCTAGCTTTCCTCTAGGCAGAGGAAAACAGCATGTTGGACAGAATACATGTGTTTCGCAAGGCAAGGAATGGGTTCCACTGCGGCTTCGCCCCAAGGCCTACTCATGCACGCAAGACGAAGTCGAATGCCAAAGTAACCGCCAGACACACAGGCGGTCATATTAGCAAAGTGCTTTTTTTGCTCCTCTCCTCTTATAACCACCATGAAACTGAGACTGTACTTGTGGCTCTGTCTGAGGGCGCGAAACGTAGCGATGAATTTCTGCTGATCGTCAACCGTACCCGGATTAGACGCTTGAACTCTGGTCCAAAACAGGTGTCCAACATGGAAATCGGAATCAAACAGTCCTGCATAGAAAGGGATTCTCCATAGTATCATCTCCGAGACCTATACACGTGGTATTGCGTCAGCTGTCGATGGCTTGCTTATGTCACACAGGAGTGGACATCATCAACCCTTCTAATGGGAGTAATTTGGAGAGTTTCCGTCCGAAACATGAAAGCCCCCTTCACACCGTAGAAGCATGTCACAATTGGTTAGCGTCAGGATGGAAGTCGTAAAATGTGGGGTTTGCTTTCCATTACCAGTAGTGTAGCCTCCGTGGCACCCCCCTAGGTAGAGGTAGGATGAACAACAAGGTCTCAATTTTAATCCTAGGGTCTCCACTTGTTCCGTGTCTATCGCTATGTACCTATTTGCCCATCTATATTTCATCTACGTATCATTTAAGGCTATTAACCTTTTTCAAAATTGCTATTCTTCTTCAATGCAAATGATTTCGTTTGGTCCTTTGTAATACTTTTTTGTTTGATTACCTGTATCACAGGCGGGCACTTTAGCGGCAATGTTGCTCTTCATTTATGGGCTTGCCTTTTGGTCCTCAAAGTTCAACCTGCCTTCTTCAATGTTGTGCCTTTTATTTATGCATTTATTATCAAATTAAAAACTTAGCTTGATTACAGTAGACTCCGAAGAACTAATTTGCTTCTCTCTTCTTTTGAGGGATGTCTCTTAGCTCCTCTCGATACACCTCCTAGCCAGCCGTGACAAAGTACTCGGTTCTGCAATTAAATACCTAAGAGCTATTTACACCCCTCGTCATATCCTATGCTACTAAGAGAACGTGATTGATTCTCCCATTATCTTAATCTAGATTTTGGGGTTGGATTCAGATGCGGAAACCCTTTTGGTCATCATATGTGTCCAGGAATAAAAATTAGAAATAATGGTAACGACATCTAACATAGTCTTGAGTAAATTGGCTTTCGGCAAAATCCTAAAGTTGATAGATTTCATGACAAGGGTCTATTAGTGGTTACTAGCTTCCTTGTGAAACGCAGAAATGAAACAAATGAGGAAAGTGGGTGATATTATTAACTCTTCTCGCTATAAAACACGCATTTCGCCTTCACTGCATATTGTGTCGCAAATAATCTAACTTATTATTGAAGTTGTTTCAAATCAGGGCATGCTTTCCGCTTTCGCCAGTGTACCTTCTCAAGACTTCCCAGAATTATGTCTTTCAACTTCAGCTGGAAGATCTTGTAACGCGACATTTTATTGATGGCCGCGTTTCGCTAACTTGCGTAACCACATGGCTACTCCGTTTATCTCAAAATGAGTATCCTGATTTTACGACAACATGATGATCATTTATATTAATTTGATTACGTAAGACGTTACGTATATTACACGTCATCTTTACTTAGGAGTAGTTGCTGCGCTCGCCAACAGAATCGCATAGTAATACTATACACACCTCGCTTCTAAAAATTTTGAATGTGTGAAAAGGTTAGCAAAAGTAGCATCAAATTTATCCTAGACTTATAACAAAATCGCATTTACCCTTCCTTCCACTGCACGAAGAAAGGGTAAGGAGTACATGAACTGTACAACAGGCAGTTATTTTAATATTCACCTTTCTCTTGCTCATGAGGTTTGAGAATATCCGTTGTAGCGCCCCGTGGCTTCCCACTAGGAGGAAGAACCCAGTACAATGAGCTCAATACATGTATTCTAAGAGGAGAAGAAAGGATAGGGGCCATGAATGGAGTCTAAGGTCAACCCCCGCGAACAAGAGCAAAACAAAAACCGAGGTGGCGGGAAGACATACAGATGGTCATACAGACAAAGCAGTGCACCCGATCCAATTCAAACACTCAAGAGTGATGATGTTTTATGATTTGCAGAATAGCTAAGGTAAAACAGAATGATTTTTGTCATATACTTTTTGTGTACAGAGTCATTCACTGACCTACTAGTTATTTCCCCAGTGGCTTTTAGGGCGCCTGTGGCGTCCCGAGACTTCCAATCGGGTAGAAGGCGACATAGTTCAATTGAATGTATGTATTCTAGGGAGAACAAAAGTATTGAGGCCAAGATTGGTTCGAAGACCAGTCCACGAATGCGAGGATCAGATAAGTCTTAAAGTATTCGCCAGACATAAAATGGTCACATAAATAAAGTATTTGAGCGCTGCTCTCACTATAACTTTGTGTACTGGATACGGCATGCAAAGTTGAGATGTTGCATCATGCAAATCAATGTTAGGCTAAATTGCGTTTTTCACGTGGAAAATTGACATTAGATGTTTTACTCTGTAGTAACCGCGTGTCTTCCCTCTGGTTCTTGGTCCTCAGATTTCAAGAGGTTGATGCTTGCAAAGGCTTTATTAAGCATAGCTATTAGGAAGGGTGAAAATGAGATATAGATGAGAAGAGTCGCAGATATCAATCAGAGGGGGACTCCTCGCCGAGTTCACGCACGTGATTCACGTTCACGATTGGTTCCCGCCTCTCACTTATAAATGTCCACTTAAACAAACTAGCATATATTACATACTCAGTAGTTGCTTTACTTGGAACGTCAAAATTGTAGGCAGAAAGGCGAATGGGCACGCTAAATGAAATATCCAAACTAGCCCAAGTATGGGTTCTGCTCTACAACTGTACGGCGTTCAATGTAGCTTAACCTTCTCCCATAATGAGTACAATTCAAGCAGTCAAATCGTATCATATATTTGCCTGGGCTTTTGAAATACATTAAAGACAGAGTTTGGATTTGTTGTTGTAATGCTTTGTTTATGTTACCACATGAAGTTTGGTGGTAACTTTAGGATTTGTATGGACTTTTACACGTTGGATGAACTTCGGGCCATGCCCAGGCCCATTTGTCCTGTCGTCTGCAGATTACGAGTATCTACCCATACTTACTGACTTCTTCTACCGGCCAGAAGGTCTCTTTAATAAAAGTTTGGCTTAATGTTATTGTGAATTAGAATTGGACAAGTGCAGCACTTGAGACCATTTGCCATCTGATAATATATAACGTCTAGCAGATTATTTTGTAAATTACTTTGTTGGATAAATTCGGTAAATCGCACTAGAATATGTATTATCAAGTTTAAATTATGCAAACCGGTTAAGTTTAAGCCAACCTGCATCTTAGCTATGTATATGAGGTATTGTTGGTTCGGAGCCTCCACGCTGTATCGCCATGTGGCTCTCTGATGAATGTGTGGTTTTTACGAGTGCCTTTAATTTTGTACCCTATTGCATACTTCTAGTACCATCGGTGCTATTATGTTTTTCGTCGGTCGGTTCAGTTAGAGCGTCCCAAGACTTTGTTGGTTACCGACTGACTCAGTTCGATACTTTGAGTTCTCAGATTGGTATGGAAATGTGTCTTCATCGCCCCAGGCAGTAGATTTTCAACCCTTTCATGTGACATCCAAACAATCAGCCTGAGGCCATACGCTAGAAGATGTGTTGTCATGAAGCTAGTCGAAGCCAACGTGAATGTTATACGCGCCGCAATTGATAATAATGTCGGAGGAATATTAATAATTTTGCCAGCATGCCATTGGAACGAAAATCTCCTAACGGTACATTCTTTTTGTTTTAAATTTTGGAGTAGCATTGGATTCGCGTTGAGTCAGACCTAATGAAGGAATGCTTTCAAGTGCCTATTTATTTTGCTATCGAAAGCGATGCACTCGAAAATATGTACACTGAGCTGCGGGAGCTGTCTCGTGGTACCGATAAGTCAAATGGTCCAAGTAAATGTAGTTGTTCTACAGCACTGGGTTCTAGGTTTGTTGGATTCAATTTTTTCGACAGGCTACCGTGCCTACGTTGATGCCCCAAGTGCTCATTCTTTGCAAAACGTGGAGTTGATTAACATCGAGGGCAAACTTATCGCAAACCAATTTGATGTCAAGAAGCCCACAGTTATTCTGGCCGCCCATTATGACGCTGGTGGTGCTATTCCGGTAAATGGATTCGAGATTGCTCACACCGCCTAGTCTCTTGCTTATGGAGCAAACTCAAACGCAGCTGGCGTTGTTGTTCTCCTAGAAGTAGCACGGATACTATCTCAGCTAACAAACTCCAGAAATGTGCCAAAGTAAGCTTGGGGAATTGTCTTTGTTCAGCAGGGAGGCTTATTCAACTTGTTTTGTAGACATAACATCATGTTTCTTCTAACTGGAGGTGGGAAATTCAACTACTTGGGTTCGAAGCGTTGGTTGGAAATGATATCTGAAGACACCTCTGGCATAGGTAATTGTCGGTAGTCGCATTCCTTCATTTCTTTTGCTTTTGTTTCAAGAGTTTGCATAAAGACTATTTGTGAACTTGCTACGCTTTTTAATTTAACTTTCAAAGAGCAACAAACTGAGTACTTTTCCCAATACCAGCCATTTCTAGTGCATGTGTAAATGCAAAAGCGCTTAGTGAGTTAGAGGCCTTTCTTTTGGTCTTCAAGTTACCTTGTTACCAGCGGCATTATATTTGGCGATACCTCACTACGTGTCGTTGAATATTTTAGCTCTCTTTGACTCAATCGAACAAGTGATAAATCTGGAGGGCCTTGGTGTAAATGAGGAAAAAAACTTGTATTTTCACGTTTCGCGACTTCCCAAAGAGGGCACTTTTAGCCAGCGCTTACTTTCCTCCCTGGAGCTTGCCAGCAGTCTACACCCGCTCTCCAACTCGACGATGTCGTCCACAGTCGAAGTTGTGCATAAGAAGATTAACTTGAACCAATACGATCTGGCTTGGGAGCACGAACGCTTTGCTCTTTATCGCCTGCATACAGCTACGCTTTCCGCGTGGTCAAGTTCAACGAGCTATCAGCTTCGCAACTCAGTCCTTGATGGAGGTCCTCTGTGGAGTCCTAGAAGTGGTTGGCACGGTTACTGGGGTCCCGTATTGCCGAAAGTAATTGCTAGGAACGCTAGAGTTTTGTCGGAAGCTCTAGTGCGGCTGACGTTTGATACTGATGCTGCAGCACCATTCTCGAAAGACTTTCCTATCATCGATCCTTCCGTAAGTTTGCGCAAGAGTGTAGTTGGGTCTCAAAACTACATTAATAATATAGAGAATCCTGTGCTTTGGAGGTCTTAGCAAGTTTCTATGCCAATAGTTTTTTCCTCCAAAAAATTCAGATTGTATGCTCAATTTTTGGAACTGCTATTTTAACTGTTTTCCAAGACAGATGTAATCTTAGGAAGGGTTTCTGTCTTAAATATCGAGAACTATTACTTACGTGGAATATCTGACTTTATTAAGCTTGTCAGTAGCATTTTGTCTCATTTAGTGGTCGACAGAGACGTCTTCTGGGGCTCTCTTGGATCTCCTTACTCTCAGTCCTCGCAGCACTCAGTTGCTCTCAGTACCCTCTGGTCGTCCCAATCGAAAGCCATCCAAAGTTAACACTCTCATCTACGCCTTAGAGCAATACTTGCGTTCTTTCCTGCCCGAGGTTCGCATCACTCGACATCATTTCTTGGCAAAACAAGCAGCTTCCGCCGATGGAAATAGTATAGTCCCCGCCAAGTTAGTCCAGCATGAGTCAGGATCTGCGGTTACTGCTTCTACACCTACGCTGTCGGCTGCTGGAAGAGACCCAGAAATAGTATTCTACACTGAAGTCTCACCGCAGAAAATCATTATATACCGGTAGGTGCTAGTAGGAATCCGAAGTTTCAGAACAGGTGATGTTTGTTGTTAAAATGTGTTTCTACCACGTGCACTCCAAGTACCACACCAATGCTGTAAACTAGATCACTTTTGCTTTTTTCCTCGATGCTTTACTTGAAGCATGTTCTGTGTATCTACTAGCGTAACTGTAATACACGTTCCTCTTCTCCAAAATTGTACTTTACAGGGTAATCCCGTGTCAAATGATCATGATGGTCACATACACGTAATTTGTCTTTGAAGGTTAAACAGGCTTTTGCTGTTTTGTTTTGCTTTGCTCTTTCGTTTGAAGCCCTAGTAAAACCTCTTTCTAATACTTGTAGTCTAAAATCCTCCGTTTTTGATTTGGTTGTGGCGTGCTGTGTCGGAACATATCTTTATGGCCTGCACACAGTCTTTGAGGTGAGTGTTTGACATTACATTGATACATATTGTCGCCAGCTAGTTTCTTTTGCCATCGCCACATTTCCTGTACAGTGTTGTTGAGCCCTCTCTTTTCTCTTTGAGACGAGTTGTTGTTTGTTCAAGCGTCTATCTTTGTGGCTTGTGTACACAGTTTTGGAGCGTGGGAGTATTATTGTTGGAATTGAACTTCATATCTCTGAGACTGTTTGTTCCTAATGTTTAGCAAAAATTGTTTGATTTTGCAGTCATACGACGAAATCGTCTGCGGTTTCAGTAACAGTGCTTTTGCGATTTCATCTTTTAGCATGTAGGAGTGTACCTTCGTTCTCTCTCAGTTTTTCTCAACATTCCAGGGAGGAAGCTCAAATTGGCCTAATTGTAGTTTTCTCGGTTTATCTGATACATACTTTTTGTTATGCTCGTGAGTGCCATTTTCGCCCTCCCAACACTGCTTAGCTCTGTTCGTTAATGTAATTTGTAATTTTTTTTGTGCGAAATAATATCAGACTTGTGGACATGGCAACTTGTCACCATTGTGAGATTTCAGTAAAATAGGCAAGGCGACCGCTAAATTGATGATGTCTGGTGTTGTCTGCTCGCCAAGCTTTTTTGATGTACTTATGCTGCGAATTAATTCAGATGAATGTCCGCTGTCTAGTATGTCTAGCAGCATTCCAAGCCGCGTATTCTGCCTTCAACGTTTGTTTAGACTCAAAATCTATCGAGTCTGCTCCACTTTGCCTATTGTCTAGTGATTTTTTGTAAAAAGGAAAATTAGAATTCGGCCCTGTGTGTTCAACCCTCAGCCCCGGTACTTATGGCGTATAGCATCGTTATCTCTCCGAACCGCCCTGTAATTTGTCGTTGTCAGGGTAGCTAAAACTTGGATGCTCTCTCTACTTCCTCTCTTTGGGTTTGGACATGCCGACCTAATTTAATTATTTAGTTGTCATGCGGAATCGCGAATGCCATGTTGTGCGCATCGTTGATCACTAACCTTTTAGTGATAATCCGCAGGGCCTGAGAATCGAAATCATATGAGAAACCGTGAGCTCCGATTCTTCGCTGGCAAGACTGGCGTTATGGGAAGTGGATGCCTTAGCCCAGAATTTTGGTATATGTTATGCCGAAACCTTCATGCTTTGACTTACCCAACGTTGAAAGCGCAGACAGTGCCCAGGTTGGCTTGGATGTGGAGTCACTTAGATGCATTGAAGACCGCTCGGTCATTAAGCGATGCACAAAGTGGCGAGTGGTGTATGCTGTTGAGTATATGGGCAGACGGCTGCGATTGGATCGGTATGACGCTGTGCATAGGAGTGCGTAATGCATGGGTTGGTACACCACCGACAAACAACAAATGAGATTCTTTGATAGTGCAACTAACTTGATGTGTACTCCACTTGGACACCGAAACAATGCATATCAAAGCACATTGATGTTGAAAAAACTGGTTTTCTAATGCCATTGTGGGCATAAGTCAAATCTAGGTCAGCTTCTAATGGCAATTGATCGATTCCTAAAGCTTATAGTGCTTTGAATTTTCTTAAAAGTGGTAGGATTCTAAAAATGTTGTAAGAGCCACTATTACTGTCAAGGCAATGATTAGTGAAAATAGTGGACTTAGGTGTCCCGTAATAAAACCATCAGGGTTTGACGGCCGCCTTTTTCGGGCGTCACCCACGACGCTTCTCTGTGCTGGTCACCACACCCATAAAGTCAGAGATAGCATTCATTGGATTTGCAAATAAACTGGGAGGTATTTGACGATATCGTGCAATTTGGGGTTTTGCTTTGCTTGGGAAACTCACCAAAAGAGGGGGGGGTATTGTTGTGTATTCATGCCAGTGGAACTTCATATCGTATTCCTTTTGGCATTCACAATAATGCCAACCTAGGAGTAGTTGTTCAACAAAGAAATGAAAATTGAAATGGTTTTGTTAAAGAAGGGTCTCGTACCCACATCTCAGCCTCTTCCTTCGTAGTTCATTGTTATTAATTCGCGCGAAGTTTTGGGTTCTGTGGGGATGGCTTCATTCACGTAGCATATCAGATAAATCGATAGTGTGCAGAGAACGTGCCGCGAAGAATGAATTTCATTCCTCAACCTCCTTGTTGCGGAATACGCAGACTATTTTGCGTCAGCCAACACTTCTTCGGAAAAGTTGGAGCTTGTAATTATAATCCAAATTTGCATAAACCAACGAGGTCAGAGGATGTATTACCGGGACAAAGACTGTCTGCATGCTTTGGAGAATGCAGACAAAGAACATTTTTTGTGTTAAAAATTTGAGGATGATTCAAGCTGCAACACATTAACTTGGGTTCCTATCAAATGTGGTAGTCGACTTTTCATGACTCATTTAGGCAAGTCTAATTTAACCTAGTATTGGAGGAAAAGTTATTCTTTCGTGTATTTGGGGCCCCGGAGCCTTCCAACCAGGTATAAAAGGAAATTATGTTGGAATAATGCATGCACTGGTGGAAGATAAGGAGAGGCTAGCCTTGGCTTGGACCGAAGGCTGGCCTCCTAGTACAATGGCAAGACAGGGACCCAAGCCCCCTGTCAGACATCAGGTTTCACAGGGATGAATTATCGCAGTATTCGTTACAAGTATTGACGTAGAATTCGGAAGCACACATGTTAGCAGCAGTTAAAAATGGCTGCATTAGTTAAAAACCAGAGATTGCATTTTGTTTCCAATACTTGTCTATCAATAACAAAAGTTTGACAACTATTGCGGAAGTGTAGCTATGGCCCCACTCATCATCTCATTTAACCCTTTATTAAACCCAGGAGATCTCACACGACCTTGCTTGACTACCTTGACGTAGTCTATGCGGTTTATCGGAAGACGGTCAGGATTGGGTACCGGCAGGTGGTGAGTGAATTTAGCCAACTTCAGGACTTGGTTGTTTACTGAAAGCATCCGGAATGGCTGGTATCTATTGGCAATCTGGTTGCATGTTCTTTGCAAGCAGTAATTATTTTGTATTATTACCATGCTATTTTCCCTGGCAACCAGCTCTAAGTATTCTAATATTTACTGGAATCGAACGCTAGCAATGGTGGGCGTTATTGCACCGCCATTTTTCGTTCACGCTTCAAATTTAAAAGGCGTATCTGATCCTGTTCCTATACCCAAACTTCATCTCGTGTTAAACAGACTATTATTGAAATTAACTTCTTGCCTGCATTCCTTACAATGAGTCGAATTCCACGTGACCTAAAAGGGTTGTTGCGGTTTTGTTTGAATACTGATTCAGACTCGACTAGCGATATCGAACCGATAGATCCAGAGGTAGGTAATTTTCCAAGTCAGATTTGTTAATCTGTTTTCTAGCGAGCCTTATGGCTGCGACAAGCGATAGAGTCTGTGACAGTCGATTTGGCTGCAGAGATGCGGAAGAGGATTGCTGCTATCATCCAAAACGTTTCTTCCTCTGATCCCGAAAGTTTGGTTGAGGAAACCACTTCGGCTTTAGACGACCTTATCGACTTTACTGAAGATGTGAACTTAGCCGATACTTTCTTAAAAATAGGAGGGATTGCCCTCCTTAAAGCTTTGCTAGCATTTCCGTCTGGCGCTTATCGCGCTCAATCAGGAATGCTTCTTTCAAACGTTGTGCAAAACCATGAGGATGCTCAGAAGGTTGCAATCAATGAAAACCTATTGAATTTGGTTCTTCAACTCCTTATTGAAGACACAGATCCTGGAAATATGAGTGGCTTGCTGTCGGGTATTTCGTGTAAGTTCGCTTTTCATGTTATAAGCAGGATCAAGAGAAATGGGCAAAATTTTTGAAAAACCTAAGCGAACCTAAACGACATATTTTTATGTATTTGGCTTTTATATCTCAGCACAATTTTTTTCTTCAAACCACATGATGTACTGGAATCGGGAAGTTGACCTAAGTTCACTTACATTTTACTCAACGTTCATGATCAGTTCCGCCACTACTTTGAACATGTGGTTATAGTCAGTTTGTTCTTGTTCTGAAGCGATGCAGATTCAATAGCATTCGCATTGATTTTTAGCACTGGTTCGTGGAAGCGAACTGTCTCAAAGGCGTTTTATTCAATGTAAGGGATTCGATCGTCTTTTTGAACTGTTGGAGAAAACAAGTCGAGTGAACGAGCAAGAAAAATATGAGCGTTTTAACGAGAAGGCATCCTTTTTCATATACTGCCTCTGTCAGGAGCTCTCTGATGAGCAACTTGGTGAGGATTGTCCATGTAGTTCCCTAGAATGCATTCATTTGTGGCTTCAAGACTTCTTAATGTTGCCTCATTATCGTAGTAGGATGGCAATAAGGTTTGCATCACTCGCATTGGACTACTATTTCCACATTCCTTGTATTGCCTGTATAAGTGTACTCGATATTTTTATTTCAGTAACTTTAAAGAACTTTCACCTTTCGGAGCGAATTACTCAACTCATTCTCCGCCTTCATTTACCATCTGAGTTCCTTGTCAAAGCATTGGTGCTACTTTTAAATGGTCGCGTTTCCACTCTCATGCACTCACCCTCTGATCCAATTTCGAATCCTTCCTCTCTTGTCAAGGAACCAATCTCAGAGGATTCTCGCAAACGGCTTCTGGACTGGCTAAAATTGGCAAAGGTTCAAGACGAAACACTCATTAGCGCGGATGCCCGACAAGCCCTCACAAACGCACTACTTTAAACTGGTTATTCTTTGAATAACACAACCTCTTCTACAAAGAATGCCTGGTCTGTGCATCTTATTTACTCAAAGAGGTACCTCAACTCATGTTTTATTCTACCAGCATGTATTAACTTCAAAACTTGGTTTTTTGGGATTCAAGACAATGCTGCACCCGCAGTAATGTGTCGAGTCGCATTTACGCTGTCAAACAGATCTCAGTCATAGTTGTCTGCTCGTGCCCACCGGCTCCAAATACTCTTGCCTAGATCATTTAACTGCAGTACTTGTTGCCCTTGGTCGAAACCGTGATGAGTAGTTGTAGATTCTCATCCCTTGATCCTAAATTTACTGTAAATGAGTTTTGCCTTTGAATGCAGGCCTTATTTTCGCTCATTTCACTTTTCTGGAAGGAGTACGACGAAGTCACGGGTGCGGATTGTTAGTAGCATCAGATTGGGGAAGGAGTTGTTCAACTCCTCCACACTTTAGCACACGTGGTGGCGTGACAAGTCTACTCAAGCGCACATCATAGGCACAGTAGCAACCGCCTGTCAGAAATACGTCACAATAAGTGTCCCACTGCAAGACTCAGGATGCTTCCATTATCGAGCACAGCAATGAAAGTCCTTCGGAGAATTTTCGCGTACCAATTGATAGAGGATGAAGGATACATATTTTTTGAAGTGAGGTGGCATTGACTAATGCAGTAGTTCGGATACGATGAGAAGGATGTGCAAAAACAGAATTGCATTTGGATGTGCCTGTGATACTGCTAACGCGAACACCTTTGAGTCCGACAACTACCTTAGCATTAAGCCTCATCTTGAATGCGCGGGTTGGGCATGGCGCTAACTCGAAGTTAGTATCCACCTCCTAGAATTTTTGTTGCCAGATAAAAGTGAAGGCTACTTCCACCTAGGGGGATGCCACGGAGGCTACACTACTGGTAATGGAAAGCAAACCCCACATTTTACGACTTCCATCCT